TTATTCACACTACTCCAAACAACATCATTTAGCACCACATGAACTAAGTATTTTTGGGCAGCCTTTCAAAACAATATCTTTGCTTTCACAGCATAAATAATGGCTGAACTCATTTCACTTTGTATGCCCACCAAAGTAACCTCTAATTAATCAACTCGATGGAAAGTAACTGGTTTCCCGTAACATTCCATCTAGTCACAACTATAAACAATCAATCTAATGGAACAGAATTAACTGACACAATACATACTTTATTATTACTGAACATTCTGAATAAGTACAATACTAACATAAAATAATCTACCGGGTTGCTTGCTTAACGAATCCACGAATGAGTTATTAATATTACGGTCTGCAGCCCGCAATACTGATAAATCATCGTTGTCTCGATAAGTAGGCAACCACTCTCAAAGATATAACATACATAATAAGAAATATATCAGCCGAAGTCAACTAGAATGATCAATACGGCTGATTCAACTCTTATCTCAATAATACATCGGCCGGATCCACTCCGCGTGGTCGGTACGGCCGAGCCTATAACTCACCAATTTCTCATGTGTCAGTCGAATCCACTTCTCATGGTCTGTACGGCTGAACATATAACTCATCAAATCTCTCTGTACTCACGGTCAATCCGACCAAACTACTAAGTCCATAACTCTGCTGAATCGACACTATGATATCATGGAAAATTGTTGAGTACAACTGATTCTAGGGACAATTCACAATTCTGCGTCCCCTCTGTTCACATAAACACATTCCTTGATTTCACATTTCTCAAAGTGTTAATTTTTGTACCTGCTGCACAAGGTACATTTCCTTTACTCGAGACACCTTGTCTCAAATATCTGGGATTACCAGTATATCCATCACTTTTACTCTGACCAGCGACATTAAAACCTCAGCTGGAAGAATTAACTCTAGCTTTATTTCTTTCGAAGCTCTGAATCTTTTTATATCCTTGATATGACGAATCATTAACTTTATCGTCTTCTTTTGATTCCCATTCATTTCTTATTCTTCTTTACTCTCGTTGATCATGTTCTCAGAGTCCTCAAGGCTCAACAACATCTAGCATACTCCTGATAAGAACTACAATGGATAGTGGTCACCCAAAATACCACTTCCCTTTTTGCCACCCAGCTTAAAACAACATAACACCTCCACCAAATTAACAACAATATCTGGATGGAACGAGGCAAGTCTGAAAACTTTCTATAATATTCATTTATCGTCAACTTACTTGATTCACATTTGCAAACTCTTGCTTACTACCATCGATAAATGCCGGAGGGATAAACTTTTCCTTAAACAAGTCCTTAAACAATTTTAAATCGGCTGCTTCCTCTGGTGACAACAATTAATACTCCTGCTTCCATCAGCATACACGTTCATAACTCAAACCAGGTAGTCGTCTCGACCCACCTGTCAGAAGGAAATTTCCTTTGACTTGCATAATCTGAAACATCTTTTCCAAATGGTTAAACCGTTACTTCACTCCCTCAGGTTCATCATTTCATAAGGTGATTCAAATTCGACTCATAACCCGTCTTAAAATGTCCCTTTTTATAATAGACTGAATCACCATAATAATAGTTTTCCCTAAACCGCTATATTAGGGAGACTAAATTCCTCTAACTACGTGGTTTGCTACGAGGCGGTGTAGTTCTGACAGAATTCACTAGAAACTTCTCAAGATGTCCAAGATTGCAACCATGCTCTGATACCAACTGACACACCCCGTCCCGAAGGAGGGCATGCTGGCCGTCACGTGAGAGTGACGTAACCATTTACACAGTACGGAAGCTTTAAGATACAATTTATAAGTTGATACACCCGAAGGTGAGTCCTAATTTTGTCCAATCTGTCAGAACACCGTCAAATTCCTCGTAGTCACCACACCTTTGTGATTCCTGAACCTGGAGGGGCGCAAAACCAAAATTGAGTGGGTCAGTAAAACAATTCTTTTCCAAATCCAAACATTTCTCAAAACGTTGTAACCCCTCTCCGTAAAACCTGTATACTTTCCCAGAAATATAAAATATAAATATACATATATATATTCTCAATACTTCAATTCATTAACTCAACATTTTCATCATAATTATGCCATGCCACATCATCTCAACATTTCTCATATTAATTATGCCATGCCACATCATCTCAACAGTAATAAGGTATGAGTGCATCAACATAAATCATATCAGGTGCAATAAAGTAATCAATCGGAGGCCCTCTATTAGCCCGGTTGAACCTAGAGCTCAAAATCTATCACTCTCACACTCTGCCGGAGTCACTCCGCGTGACCTGTACGGCCTTCTGCACATAAGTTACGCTCTAGTGCTTCTCATAAATCATCTGTGCACATAATCTAAGGTCACCCACCAGTCGGAATCTCACTAACACTCTCGCGACTGGCCTGTCGTACCCACTCCGCGTGGACTGTACGACTAGCATCTACTTGGATCCAAGGCGAGCGTGCGATGCGGTGAATACTATAAGCACTAAACTATGGTGCAGGATTTGAGCTCAATATACATCAACATCATCATAACAGAAATAAATACTCACCTGTGCGTCCACCGCACCATTTCATACATATGCATCATAAATCAATTCTTACCTGTGCGTCCACCGTACCAATTCATATATATGCATCATAAATCAATTCTTTCCTGTGCGTCCACCGCACCAATTCATACATATGCATCATATATTAATTCATGCATGGCAGTTCAACTCACATTTCTATATACTTTTCATATCAATTCTATGCATGGTATTTCACTTCCCGTTTTTCCACATAACTCATATGCATTTCATTTTAAACATATTTTCATTTCAATTCAATTTCTGGGAAACGTCAAGTATATATATATACGGAAAACAAAACTGCCCACTCACAGAATACATCGACGTGTCGAAGGTCCCTGAGCCTCCCTTAGCCATGCCCAACGTCCGTATAATCCTCGCCTATACGAGAAGTAACCAAATTGACGTTATTTAACGCATAATCCCACTCTTAGCTAATAACTCCTCATATATTGCTCAAATTGGGTATATGAATATACCACTGTGATCTACTCGACGTCACGGACGTCGACATATTTTTAAAATAATTTTTTACTGTAGCACGCGCCCCCCACGCGCCAAGGAAGGCACGGCCCACGCGCCCCCACGCGCATCATCTTCTTCCTTGGGTCGCCGGACTGGTTTTTCCGACGGCCGTTTTTCAAATTGCCATAACTTTGTCATTTCTCAACGAAATCAAGTGATTCAAAAACGAAAGTTGTAGTCCTTGAAGAGACAAAGAGAATGGTACCTTGCACAACACCTATTTCGCCGTGGTTTGGCCGGAAACTGCCTCGAAAGCCTCGGAGGTCGCCGGAAACTGGGTATTTTTCAAATGAGTATAACTTCTTCAATACTCAACGAAATTGAGTGAAACAAAAAGGAAAGTTGTAGTACTTGACGAGACGAAGAGATTGATACCTACCTCAACTCCTAACTCGCCGGGGATTCGCCGGAAAGAGCCTCGAAAGCTCCGGCCAAACTTTGAACTTGTCGATCTCCGTGTTCTTACGTCCAAAAACTTCCAACGAAGCACTCCGAGCTTCCTTGGGACTTCCTTAAGCTCACTGTGAGCTTGGTTTGGCCTAAAACAAAGCCAATTTGAAGTTCGTGAACAGTGCAATATTACGGTGACACTGAAACTAGGGTTTTTCGAAGTGAAACTCACCTGAGTTTGGTATCCCCGATCTCGTGAAGTCCTCAGGATCACGATGGTGGTCTTAAATGGAACGTTCGTGGAGGTTTGATTGAGGTTGGGTGTGAGTCCGTATGTTCGAGAGTAAGAGAGAGAGTGAGAGAGTTTTCTGAGATGAAAGAAGAAAAAGAGAGAGAAGGAAAGGTTACGGGTTTTAGGGAATGTTTTGAGGGTAGGAGGCCCTACCTAAGTCCAAACACAATTTAACACACACAAATATAAATCTAATTGTTAAATTTTCGCCCCTTAGTCCCGCTTAAGGGCATTTTGGTCTTTTCACGTCCTCGGAATTAAAATTCCGGGACGGGCTGTGACATTAGGGCAGATGAAGTAAACTTCTACAAGGACCAACGGAAGATATGCTTCAATTTTACAAGGAAATAGAAGAAGAGAAAACAAGAAAGATATGCTTTAATTTTTTTAGTAAATTTGTTATTAAATGGTTTTCAACTTTAATTCTTCTTGCTACTAATTAATATGTTTTCTTTGTTTGTAATATAGGCTTGACACAAACTCAATCTTCTACAAGTTCAATGCCTCCTCCAAAAGCTTCGACATCTCAAGCTTGAATAACTGATCAATAAATTCTCATTTTTGAAGTTTACTTCCAATTTTCATTTGGTTTGAAACTTTAATTTCTATTTGGATTGTTAACTTCTATTTGTTTTGGTTCGTAACTTCTATTTGGATTGTAAGCTTAATTTTCATGATGAATCTTGATGCTTCATTTGAATTATTATGTGTGTGAATTGTGAATGATGAATAATAGATGAATTTAATCTATAATGTATGAGATAAAGGTACAAAAAAAAAAAGTTTTGCCCTTGAATTGGGTTAAAAAAACAAAAACATATTTTGTCCCAAAACAAAATGGCAATTACCATTGTCATACCATGCCAACCAAACTTTTGGCAATACCGAACTTCGGTATACCGAAAGTTTGGTACGGTAATGGTAATAGATTTTACCAAACCGAAAGTTTGGTACGGTAATTGGTACAAGGACTTTGGTACGGTAACCGTACCGAACCCACCCCTAACTCGTTGAGAAGAAGTGGTTAGATTCTACACGGACAGGTATATTTTAAAATCCCTACACTTGTCCCACATGCATGCCGAGGGCCCACCACATTTGACGGCCACGATTAACTGATTCCCCTTCCGGTTTTGATAGAACCATTTACTTTAAATAAATAAATAAATAAATGAATAAAAAGACTGTATAAATTGAAATAATAGATAAGGAAATAAGAAGCACAAAACGCGGCGTTTCAGCATAGCTTAGGTTTTCTTCCGCTCTTTGAGTGTAGCTGATTTGGTTCGGAGATACCTCTGAGTAGCGAGAAGAGACGAAATCAGAGAAGAACTTCGAAATCATGACGGGTAATTGATGCTAATTACTCTATTTTTTCTAGTAAATTTTGTTTCTTATCGATTTTATGAACTAAAAGGGTCGCGATTTAAGTTAATTGTATAACTTTTAGCAGCGTGATTAAGCTATATATTCTTAATTTTTGTTAATATTGGGGTTGTAGGATTGAATTTCTATTGTGATATGTAGTTTTAATTAAAATTTTGCAATTTTCGATTTTTTATGTTGATTTTGGAGTTTGTCATTGTTTTTGGTATCTTAGATTGCTTTTTGGGGGAATTTAAAGTAATCCAGAAGCTTCAATGGCATACTTTTTTGTTGTTGAGGTTTTCGGGACATGGGATTTGTCGAAATGTATGAAGTTTATCAGAAGGCTGTTAAATTTTACTTAAATATGTTCCAAGCAATGAAATTTACTTAACCGTGTGTTTTACAACTATGTTTACAGACTATATACAAGAGCAGGAGATGGAAATCGAAGCGTTGGAAGCAATACTTGCGGATGACTTCAAAGGTATCTGCTATGTGGTGCTTCTGCAGACCAACATTTGTTATAAAATTTGTTATATGTTATCGTTTTTATTTCACGAGTACTGAAACTAATAGGAATGTTCTTTTCTGTTGTCTTTGATGTGCCAGAAATACACTCGGGTGAGAGTGGGTTAAATACTTCCAAGAGGTGTTTTCAAATAAAAGTATCTCCAGTGGTAGGTTTACGTTCTAACTGGCATAATTGTTATAACAACCTCATGTCAAGCTGAGGATGTATACGTCTTAACTAGACATATGTTCAGGTTTTCCTTATGTGCATTTCTTTGCTTTCGTTTCAACAGGATGATGAATCAGATGAATTTACAACCACTCCAGGTATTTTCTTTTTGCATTGTACGATGTTTTGAATAATGCCTTACTGTTACTTTCTTAATTGGATAACTTGATTTGTTTTTTATCTAGAAATTTTCAGGAGTTATTCTTTTTTTTTTTTTACTTTTTGTATTTTGTATCTTTTACATTTCATTTGGAGATAAGCTGTTTTGGAAACTTCTGTTTCAGTTCAGCTGGCTTTGATTTTCTCGCACACAGAAAGATACCCAGATGAGCCTCCACTTTTGAATTTGAATAGGTATGGTGCAAAATATTGCTGTTCTCCACTTTTCATTGTTAGTAATGATGGAAAAGAACTTGATCATTTTCATTGCCTTTTTCTTTTGGACAAAGCAAATATAACTTCTACTTGAACCTTCTTGCAACTGCATATATAAAATACTGCTACAAAGAAAAGAAAGAAGTTCGAGAAAAAATATCCTTGAGTCTCTGCTATTAATACTGTATTGTTCAGCTATAATAGTTCCGTCAGTATTGTGTTGTTAAGCAAGGCTGCGGGAAAGTCAGAAGTGTGGATGCAGTATGGTTTATGAGGAACTATTCTAATGGTTGATTTTTTTTCCTTCAGTTTACGTGGTATACAAGGAGAACATCTAAGAATTTTGAAAGAAAAGCTTCTGCAAGAGGTAATTTTGGGCATTCTTTACTTCTCTATGCAGCTTTTTCTTGTGTCGTTTTTTATCTGTCCTAATACATCTAAAGATTAGTGAGCATATTTTTTCTGTTCTAATACAACTCATTAGATAATGTGAAGTTATCCAAAAAATACCGAATTTAATTCAATATCTATATGTTTTACAGGCATCTGAAAACCTTGGTATGGCTATGATCTACACACTAGTTACATCAGCCAAGGAATGGCTTTCTGAACAATATTGTCAAGACACTAGTCTTGAGGATGCTGAAGCAGAAGAAGCAGCAAAGGATGATGTATGCCTTTTGTCCTACGTCGTCATATCTAATCATCTTGTGGCTATTTGCTTTCTTAGTCTCGAAGCATAAAGGGAGTTTACCTTCTAGCATTCCTGGAAAACTATACACTCAAGATCCCAAAACCTACGTCTTCATATTTAAATGTAGTTAAGTCTTGCTGAGGTTTTTACGTGTCTAAGGATGGCTGGAAGAAGTTCAAGTTATGAAATCATTGAGGTTGTCAATAAAACTGCTAGCTATTCTCTCTAAGAGACCCTCTTTCTTTCTCCTTGGTCCAGGAGTTGTGTATCTGGAAAGGTGAAGCTTCTAGAAGATTAATCATATTTTAAGGGTGTTCATCTTTTCTCTTGTGCATCTTGCAATTTTCGGCATGAATCTGATGCAACTGTTCGTGAATATTAGTGAAAAAAAACTGCATAACCAGCTTCACACTTTCCCATGGGATTTACTTTTTTCATTCAAAGTTGTATGTTTGCATCTCTGGTAATGATTGTTCACCTGAAAAAGATAGTCTGAAGGAGCTGCTTCTTATTTTCCTGCTCCTTCCTCTTTTAGGTAATCATACCACATGGAGAACCAGTTACAGTTGAAACATTTCTGGCATGGAGAGAGATGTTTGAAGCAGAGATGGCACTGGAACGAGCCAAGTAAGTATTATCGTTTTATAATTTCAGTAAGGTTATCTTCGTCAACTCAGAATTTTTTTTTTTTTCACTATAAAGCATGTGAAAGTGGTGATCAATAATATTGGTGTTGGATTTTTGGATCGGCGGGCCCATGGGGCCCATTCTAACAACACCGATATTGTCCCCAACTTTACCACTTGCCCAATCCGTCAAGTGTAGGGTTTTATCACAAAAGGCATCGATATTAGTGGGGTAATCATATTTAAACCCATTATTTTCTTTTGCACCCACCGATATGGGATTCCAACACTCTCCCCTCACGTGTAACCCCTTTTAGTGGTTCACACGTGGAGATCTACACAACGGCAATTGAAACTCAAAGGTCAACTCTATGTTAAGAGCCCAGACTTGTTTTCAATGGAGCTCAAAGGCCGGCTCTCTATTATGAGTCTTGGCTTGTTTCCTTTGGTGACAAGCTTGTTAGCCTGCACGGGCCCGAACCTTGGCTTTGATCTTTGGCTTTGATACCATGTTGGATTTTTGGATCGGCAGGCCTGTGGGGCCCACTTTAACAACACCGATACTGTCCCCAACTTTACCACCTGCCCAATCTGTCAGGTGTGGGGTTTTATTAGAAAAGATCTCAATATTAGTTAGAGTGGGGTAATCATATTTAAACCCATTATTTTCTTTTGCACCCACCAATGTGGGATTCCTACAATTGGTTCGTACAAATGTTTTGGTTTTTGATATATTTTCACCAAAAAATTCTACATTTTGGGGAAGAAAAATCTGATTATGTTGGAGAGGCGTGAGATATGGAATTCATTTCTACATGGACTTTAGGACATTATGTTGTGCTACACGATAGACATGACATTAGAGAGGGAAAAGACATTTACCAGACCATGGTCTTTGTTTAGCAGGTTATGCGGTGGGATGGTTAGGATTAGTTGTAGGTTCAAATCTTACTAAAAAGTTGTTATGAGAAAACAAGGAAAAAAGATGCTGTGACGGTTCATTAGCACTTTAACCAAAACTTCCAGGTCATCAAGAAATATATAAATCCAAGGAATCTTTCTTGAAATCAATGTATTAAAAGCGTGAGGCGTGGGCGAGGTGTCCGAGGGATAGCCCAGCCTAAGTGTGAGGCGAAGCCTAACGGGACCTAAATTTTTTAATATATACATTGAACATACACATATTATATTAAAAAAGAAGAAGATTATTAATCAATAATCATCCTAAGCACACACATATATTATAAATACATATACACACACATATATATACATATATTATATTATATATATAAAATAGAGGATGAAAAGCACAATGAGCATACATATAACAATGCACGCAGACGGCGCACACATCTATTATATAAAAAATAAAAATCAGAAAACAAGGCAGAGAGCTGATAGTGCAAGGATGAGGTATGAGGTAGTTAAAACTCTACCCAAAATTTGGGTTTGGGAGAAAAAAATAAAATAAAATAAAAAAAATCCCCTGAGGCGCGCCTAGGAGGCTCCGGCAGCGCCTTCCGCCCACTCCCTGAAAACAGAGGCGGCAACCCTCAAGCCTAGCCTCACAGGGCGCCTAGGCGCGCCCCAAGGCGAGCCTTTTAAAACATTGCTTGAAATTTAATAGTTTCCCAATAGTAGATCATTATATATTTCTGCTTGCAGTCTTTATTTTCATGTCTGATGGGTAGTGATCAATTTTCAAGGTTAATGCCCGAGTCTGCACTCTCAGCACCCAAGGAAAAGAGGCTCGCAGGTAGACAGTGGTTTGAAACCGGAAGGCATGCTGCGGTAATTAATTCATTTTACATTGTTCAGTTTTGCCCAAAACAAGTAAATACAGTGAAAACTAAACTAATTTGTACTGGTCTGATTTGATGGTTGAGTTAGTTTCATGGTATATTATTGAGGGGTAATACGAGGGGAAGTTTGGGGTTATTACAAGTGAGGATTTTATTGTTGGAACGTATAATTTCTCAGTTTCAAAGAAAAAACAATAATATGAGTGACTTTTTCCCCTCCATAGAAAGGTGCAGCTCTAGCCAGTGAAGGGTCCGATGAAGAGGATGAGGATGAGATTGACTTCGATTCTGATGATTTTGAAGGTGATTCTCTCCTTATAGCGCATATAGTCTTATGTTGATGAGACCAAAATTAGTCGAATTGCATAATTTTGTAAATACGAAGGAAGGTTGTGTTCACGATCTGATGAAGAAACCATCTTGTCTTGTGGTTAATGGCAGATGACGAAGATGATATGTTGGAACACTATTTGGCCGAGAAGTCCGACTCATCAACCCACTCTTCGAAGAGGGTCACTAACTAGAGTCTAGAAACAACCGAACGGGAGCACCATCTGATGAACAATGTGCCTAGTCTTGGCTCTGTCTTCATATGTATTTCGTGCCTTATATTTACTTTAGGCCTCGAGGACAAAGAGGAGATTGTAGGTTTTATTTTTTTTATATTATTATTTTTTTTTAAAGGGAACCAATTGGTGGCTTTGCCATGGCAGTTCACATTTTGGGAGCTGTTAAGACTCACAGAGACATTCTAGCTTTTGTAGAGAGCAAAGGAGAAGATATGGTATTGCAATATAGAAAATAACCGCATCTTGGTAGGTAAACTTGTGCTTTTGATGTCTGTCAATAATCAATATGTATATATAATTTTTTTTTAAACAAAAAAATCAATATATTTTAGACACTGGTGTCGAGAAAATCAGCCAAAAAGAGGAGAAATTGGTTAAAATGATCAAAAATTAAATTTTTATTGCTTAATTGGTTAAAATCAAATATCAACAACACAACAATCAGATATGGGGACGGGAGGGAGTCAAATTGAGGACTTCCAATTTCTCAAACATCGGAAAGAGAATTGCTACTAGACTAAGAGCCAGTAGGTAAACAAAATAATAATAAACACATGAAAATAACATCATTTTTCATCAGTCGGGACGTGAAAATAGCAAATTAATAAATTTTATTTCCAAAGTCCGTTCAGCATCCAAATATTCCACAAGTAACAAGTAGTTTATGAAATTTCAACTGAGTCAACTCACAAGTGCTTCCTATCCTAACCCTAACCCTACTCACCTACTACACAATTTTCACTTGCACTCTTCCTATTATAACGTTTCCTCACTCTTTCCGAGTCACGGCTATTACAACATTACACATTTTTATGTTACAATCGAACCTTGTATATCTGTCATACCACATTGATCTCGAAACCAGCACAGTCAAGCCGGTAAAGATCTACAATTTACTGCCAACGTCAGTATGCGCACCTCCGATAATTGTTCATTGTTGATGACACCGATCAGCTTTGAGGAGCGTGCGAATAATTGTACAATATTCTTCCACTCTATACACATCCCTGATCCGTCATGGCTTGCGCAATAGTCAGAAAAGCAGAAATGATGGCTCCGTGAACCAAAGATCTGTCAAGCACGTAAAAGAAAGTTTGATTCTTCAAGTGTTTAACGTTAATGGTACGCAATTTTACATGGCCAAACACAAGTCACAACCAGAGGTTATCTAGTTTCTTCAAAGATTCAAGAGGAAAAGATAAGGCAAGCGTCAATACGATAACACACTTACTCAGGACTTTCTTTCTGGTAACCAAAGTCAGCTGCAGCTTTAAGGGTTCTCTGGTAAGTCTGTTTCATTGATTCCTAAGAGTTACAATGCAAATCAGATATCATAGAGAAAAACAACAAACCAGCTCAAGACCTTGAGCAAACTTTAAGACGGACATTGAAGGGGTGTTGGCTACTTAGCTTTTCTAAAAGATATTGTTTCTTACACTACCAGAAGTCATTAAGACACTTCGTAGAAGTAAGTTAAAGAATTTATACCAGCGAGATAAAATAAACAGTGTCACCTGTAATTTGGATTCAAAGTCCTCGGGAGACCAATTCACTGAATTACACTCGTGGTTCAATTCAAATTCTCCAGCAACCACCTGCTATCATTAAACAACAAAGGGATAACATAAATTTAAGGGAAAAGAAGATAATCGGAAGTCATATTGATATAAATGATACAAATATATTAACTCATGCTGGTCCATCAAATGCCAGACAAAAATAATTAAATTTTAACTCCCAAATGTCACTTCTTTAGAATACCCGATGTTAGATCTCGAACATGTTAACATTGAAGTATTCAACCCAAAATCAATTGGCAATAACTGGAGGGCCCGTGATTTCATATATTAGAAGCAAGCTTAGAATACCTGATGTGAAATTTTTGTATTCAATACACCCCTGGTGACGCTGAGCATGCATAGCTAAATTAGACCTAACGCATAGATTAGCAGACCCCCCAAATCCGTGTTATAATCAAAGCATAACTGAGAGATTCATGATTTCATTATCGAGATAGATGGATTAGAAAACTTTATGTAAGATTCTTAGATTCTTAACAGAAACTGATTTTGAACAATAATCTCATGAGCACATGAATTCCATTTTTCTTTAGACCAAATAGATCCATTTATTTTCATAAACAAACAAGCTTAGCTTGAACTTAGCCTAAATGTGCCAATAAAAACATGATACGTATAAACTTCGTGATAGCATTGTCCCAGCACATGTTGAAAAGCATATCTATCAAGCATGTACTGTAAAGATAAGAATCATACTCCACCAGAACCAGCAGCCACTGCAGGAGCAATTAGAACATTAGCTTTTCTCAGAATATCAACAGCATCAGGTGTACATGGCATGTTTGAACCTAGATACAAAAGAAGAACAAATAAGAGGTGTTACAGAGCTAACATTAGTGAATATGAAAACAAACGCCAAAATTTAAAATCGACCATGCATGTTGTTACCAGTAATTATTACCTTCTACTAGCATACGACAACCTGAATTAACCAGATTAATGGCATCAGTCTGATCAATTTCATTTTGGGTAGCACAAGGAAACGCAACATCACACCTTTCAGTCCAGGGTTTTGCTTCATCATAATACTTAGAGCGAGCATAAGTCTTTGAATAGTCTCTGCAGATGAGATGTAAACAATGAATCCTGAAGGTAACTATACCAAGCTATTTAATCAACAGATGCAAAATAGACAGCAAGTAGCAGACCTCAAACTTCTTTGTTGAGCTTTGATCTCCCTCAAAAATGATATTTTCATGTAATCAAATCCTTCATCATCCACCAAATAACCCTTCGAGTCTATATGCAATGATTTGAAGATAAAAGGCATGTGATTCATTAAATGCTGATAACAAGTCTTATTCACTCTAAATGTTTACGACTCGGAAATCGTAACTTCCTGACACAAAGCACTAGAGAATCTAAATAAGAGCATGGAACTAGAAAATGAAATAGCCATGTGGAGGAAAAAAAATTAACACCACATTCACAGCACAAGTACTCTAGCTCTTCATATCGTCTTTCTTTCTTCAGATGCAATCAGGAAAAATAATTTATTTTGTTATTTAGATATAAATACGGTCACAGATGTTAACATATGATCTTTACAACCTAAGATACAAACCAATCAAGGCCACAGAAGATACAAGCAAATTGACTACTAGCAACCTCTGGTTTTTACGTAAGTGCTATGTTCATTGTTTTTATAATCTTTTGGATGAAGTGCTCGGAGCATTGTTGACAGCATGATTGTTCTCTAGATCAATCATCACTCAAGTATCTAATAGATATGATCACGTCAAACATATAAATTTTTAACATTCTTAGCAAGTAAATTATGTCATAATTCAAGCAGTTCCTACACTAGTATGACATCTGGAATTTTTTTCATGTGAAACATTCAAACCAGATATGTATATTACTAAACCTTTCCATCACAAGACCTAATTCAAGTAGTCCCATAAATACTTCTTGTAAGAAAATACCTGAAACTGTAATGGGAATCGCGCCATATGCGATAAGCTTCTCCAGGACATGCAATGCAATCTTTCCAGAACCACTTACAACACACCTGGAGGGAAACTATAATATCTTCAAAATAATAAATTTTCAAAACAACCTATAAGCAATCACAAATTATATGCTCTCGTGGATACACATACATAGATACATATAAGCACACAAAAGTTAAAAGATATGTTAAACAGGATTGGATTCTTCAAAACGCTACGTAAACAGAAAGAACTCCCATGTGCTGTTCTATGTCAATATCCTATGATGTTTTGTGAAAATTTTAAAAGTTTTGAATGTCAGGTAAAAGGTACCTTAATCCTTTGAAATCTTTATTGAGGTCTGCAAGTAGGAGTTGTGCAAAGAAAACCTGCAGAAGCATGGGAACTTTGTTCACATCATCGGAAATGAAGATGAAAATTACATAGGGAGCTTATAATACCCGCAACAAATACAGACACATCTATTAAGTTCTCACCAAAAAGCAAAAAATAAATAGAAAAAGAGGAAGCCCGAACACGAGCATGGGAGAGTTGTGATATTAGTTACCAGTCCATATCCGGTAGCTTCAGTTCGAAGACTAGAGCCAGACCAAAATATCCTTGGCCCTGTAAAACTTCCCTGCATAAGTAAGGCATACATATGAAAACATAAAGACATTACTTAACTTTCTTTCCATGAGAAACACATAAGCAGAAACTTTACTTTTGTACGGAGAGAAATGAACACTGAATAGATGAAGATGTACCACTTTCGACCAAAAAAACAACGAAAGAAAAAGACTTATCACTTAATTATCTTCCATGATAAACAGATAAGCATAAACTTAACTTTTGTACCGATAGAAAATAACAGTAGACTTCAGATGGACAGAAATAAAAAAAGAACAATAGAATTTGTCAGGATAAAAAACAAGACTTTGTAGGGAAAGAAAAGAACGATAGACTTTGTTGGGATAGAAAGAACAATGGCCTTGTCAGGATAGAAAAGAGTAACACTCTTTGTCAGGATAGAAAAGAACAATAGAATTGCTTGTTTAATTACTATTTTCCGAATTTTCATAATCCTGTGGTCCTACAGATTTAGAAAAAGCAATGTCATAAATGGCATCTAGATACTAAATTACATCACAAAAGGTAAGAAGTTAAATTCAGAAATAGTTTGTTACCGGTGTTTCTGGTACCTGAAAGTGACCAGCTAGACGTCTATATTGTCCGAAAAGATATCCCATTTCTCGAGTACCAACACCCATCTCCTCTGAAGGAAGGTCCTAAAGTGTACACAGCATTAAACCAGACATGCAGGATACAGCATTGAAATTCCATATAGAGGAAAAAAAATATTCATGGAATGGAATCTTGCTGAAGTTACCTTGTCAACACCCAAATAACGATAGATTTCATTCATAAAACTTTGGCAAAAACGCATAACCTGCCAGCTTAGAAAATAGTCATTCACAACTTCTGAGGAGGTTAAAAATGATGAAACACATATAACAAATTGAAGACTTTTACCTCATTATCACTTTTTCCCTTTGGATCAAAATCACTACCTCCCGCTGCCCCTCCAATTTTGTACGGTGACAAGGCATTCTTTAAAGTCTGCAGAGAAGGTAAATAGCACAATGCAAATCCGTCACAAGACAGTCACTTCCAATCTGAAGGGATTAACCTCATCACTAGTATTTAGCTTGGTGTTCTTATGAGCACCAATCACTAGAATACACAATCAACAGAGGCACAGGAAGAAAAAGATTTGGCAAAAGCTTGACCCAACCTAAAGAAGACAAGTCAACTCAAAGGAACTCAAGAAAACAACTAATACCTGTTCAAATCCAAGAAACTTGGCAATGCTCAAGTTCATAGAAGGATGAAACCGGAAACCACCCCTACATGGACCCAAGGCCTGGTTAAATTGTACTCGAAAGCCCCTGTTAACATGTGTCTCACCTCTATCATCCATCCATGGAACTCGAAAAACAAGCATGCGCTCAGGTTCTAGCAAGCGCTCCATGATGCTTGCATAACTGAAAAAAGAAAATTCACTTGATAAGATTTTACAGAAATCAGAAATAAGACTTTGTTTCCCTTAACCAGCACGACTAAAACAATACTCCATCCCAAGGAAACTCACTGAGAATTTTTCGCAATCACTCTTTCTAAAGCATGAACAACTTCTTGCACCGATTGTATGAACTCAACCTCATGAGGATCCCTTTTCAGTGCAGCTTCAACAATTGATCCAGCCGTTTTTGACATAAGAGCTACATTTAAGAGTAATTCCAAAGACAAATCAACCAAACGGGAAAACAATTAAAAAATTAAACTCAAAATTCATTTCTTTCAATCATATGATGGTGTGAAATATGTGCAAATATCAACAAACTAATGTCAACAAACTCCATATAATGCTGGAAGAAGCATTTAGGTGTGGGCATGGTGAACTGCTGAATATAGCATTCAACTGAACCAAAGTTTTCATTCAGCAACGAGCTAAAAAATTAAAAATCCTAAATGCAAACTTAACTGCAAGGGATACTTTCATAAACATGAAAACTAACAATAACGTAACTTTGCGAAAAGAATTTCCTGAGAGACACTCCGCAAAAAATTTGTGCAGAATTCAGACGGTGGTTATTTGAAACTTCCAAAGCAAACCAAAGAAAATTGAGCAGAACGTGCTAACCTTTAACATAAATGGGTTTGTCAGCAACGACCTTATCCTTGGAGGCCATTTGAAGGCGAAGTGCCTCTTTGTGAAGCAAACTATTGTTGTGTTCCTCGAGTGCACTCATCTGCATATTCCGGCTACCCTCATTTCCATAGGGGTTTCTTCTATGCTTCCTACCATACTCTCTACAAACAGAGCAAAAAATCCTCGCTGTCCCTTCCTTGACATCAACATAAGCCCATTTGTAGGTATCAGCCCATTCCTCTCTCCATCTTTTCACAACCTTTTTCTTCCTTTTTACTGGCTGTCCCTTTGACATGTCTTGATCATCACTAGGGAGGTGAGAAGCCATTACCATATTCTTACTCTCGTCATTATCCTCAACAGAAGGTTCCCGTGGTGGACCACCAATAAGGGGGTTGTTAGCAAATGAAGGATCATCATCCCCAGTTCCAATTTCTAAATCAATCTCTTCTCCAAGCTCCCGAACCACTAAGTGATGCCTCTGTGCCTGCTGAATCAAGTTCATATCATCCATCATGGAGTTCATCCTTATTCCACCTCCTGGTAGCAACATTCAGCATGACAGACTTAACCGAAACCCAAAATCCTGCAGCATCCGTTTGTCATGGGGAGATTCATTAACTCCTTTTACAATTGTCTAAATGAACCAATTAGAAAGCTAAATAATTTCACTATAATAATATAACCAAAAAATCAGAAAAATCTAACAAACTCCATTCATTCAGAACCTAGAACGTATCAAACCTTACAACACTAGTAGCCAAGTTGAGGTTTATGTATCATAAGGTATGAATGAACATATAGCATGAAATCTTCTATTTATATTTTTCACTTATCCTAACTATATTATAACCAATATAAGAGTGTACAAAGGCACATAAAATCCAGTGCACGTGGTATTATGAAACCCTCGAGACTTCATAGTTAGGATTCATTGCCCCCTAAAGAAACGAAAAACTCCGGTACACTGAGCCTAAAAAAGCATACTAGATAAGAGTTCTGACTTCCTAGAAGCCAAAACAACAAGAACCAAAGCACCAATTCACAACATCATCTTCTCAGTTATCCTTAGAAACTCTATCAACCCCAAATAAAGTAACTAATCATTCAATTACGCCGAAAACACAGCCATACACCAGAAATCCAAAATTACTTTAAAAAAAAATGAAACTAATCATTCAATTACGCTGAAAACACAGACAAATCCAAAATTACGTACAAAAAACATGAACTTTGAATTTCTCAGATAAGAATCAAGGAACCCCACAAACCAAAAATTTAACAGAATTCCATTTCCAAACATCCCAAAACTCATTTCTCAAAATTCAACAATACCCACCCTTAATTCTCAATTTTAAACAAAACCAGAATCCAGAACAAAAACGTCGTGGAGTACCGTGAGAACAGAGGATCAAAAGGATGAACTCGAAAAGTTTCAAGCTTTCAAGTTGCAGTTTCGAAGTGGGGTCGTTGAGCAGTTATTCTTCACCAAAGCTGGAACCTTTCTGCAAAGGGTCGCGGGAATTGTCGAAGAGGAGGACGCAGAGAGTGAGATCAACGGGTCTGATACTCGTTCGATCTGATTCTTGAGTGAGAAGAGGAGACGAGAGGTTGTATGGTACGACAGTAACGGTATAAAAGTAAGAATTTGTAAATTCACATGTAAAAATTCTGTTGTTTGGATTCATAAATACTAAATTTCTATGTGCAAAAAAAGACTTGGAATTTGGAGTCTCTAATTCTCAAGTTTAAATTCCATATACATAGATGTCATTTCCTAATTTTTATGATTGAGAGCTTAAAAATAACAAATTTCGTATTCAATTCCATTGTTCTTTTAGGCTAACCAAACAAGAAAATTCACAAATTATAGAAAATAAAATCCCGTCAATTCAATTTCTGTTATTTTAAAATTCTTTAGTAATCTTAAATTTCTTCATCCAAACATTGTATAACACACAAAAGAAAATACAGAGAGGTTTTTTTTCACTGAGGGTGAAACCGCTTTTTGTTTGGTTTTTTTTTTTTTTGAAAGAATAAGTGAAAAAAATAAACCAAAGAAAAAAAGAAGAGATGGATAGGGATTAGTCACAGATATTTGATTGCATCTCTATCTTCTTCCCTCTTCCCATATCAATAGCTAGAATGAAAAAAAGAAAAAAAGAAAAAAAAAGGAGAATATCAATGCATCTGGAAAAAAACGACTAATCTCTATCAATAAACCTGCTTAAAGACCTGAGCCATAGAGTACTTACTACCGATGCCACAGGGAGATATGTTTTTAGATCTCGCATTTTAAAAACTCCTCTTTTTGTATTCGTTATTGTAATTTTATTGTAATTTGTAATACATAATGGTAATACATTTATATGACCTGATGTGTATATGTAGTTAATGACTTACCACTTGTACGCGGAATTCCTAATTCAAATTGAAATGTACAAAATAGATATTTATTAAAAGAAAAAATACGTCCATTTCCGCCTTAAATTCCTAAAAAATATTAATTTTTTGTAGTAGATTTCATATTTATTTCATACTTTATATAAGTCTTTGGTAAATGTCGTAATGCTAGAGGAATCACTACCGCGTGGCATAGAGGGGGAGGTGACACACCCCGATCCTAGAATCAAGGCGTGCTGGCCGTCACGTGAGCGTGACGTAGCCAAAAGTGCGACACGGAAGCAAGATATAACAGAAATATGAAGGAATTTAAACCAACCACTAGAAGAATAACCTACTAGCATACAAGAGAGAGTTATAGAGTAAAACACACGAATTCAGAGCGTAGGTAACAAGTGCATTCAAGTAGGACTATAATTAAAAGTGCAACACCCGCAGGTGAGTCCTACATGCAGTACGTCTGTCAGAATGCCGAAAAAGACCTTGAGAGCCACCAATTGCTAACTAGAACCTGGAGGGGCGCAAAACAAAGATGAGTGGGTCAGTAAAACCAAAGATTTTCCAAAAACATTTCATTTAAAACGTTTCTCACCCCTCACCGTAAAACCTGTATACTTCCCAGAAAAATAGTATATAAACGTATATATACATATATCATCAAAACTCCGCTCACCATCTATCAACATAACATCTCAGAAAGAATATGCCATGCCATGCCAAAATATAATATGAATGCATCAATATAACTCAGGTGAAATAATAAATCAACCAGAGACCCTACAGTGGTCCTGTACGGCTGATTCTATAGCTCACTATCCCATCCAGCCGGAGTCACCAACTGTGACCTATACGGCCCTGCCGGAGTCACCAACTATGACCTGTACGGCACTACACTGCACATAAGTCGGAACTACCTATAGTAGTCTGTACGACTAAGATGGTGAAATAATACGCTCTAGTGCTTCTCTCATCAATCATCTGTGCACATAATCTAAGGTCACCTACCAGTCGGAACCCCTCTAATGGTCTGTACAACTGGCATGTCGGAACCACCTCTAGTGGTCTGTACGACATCCACCTACTTGGATCCAAGGCGAGCGTGCGGTGTGGTGAATAATATAAGCACTAACACCTAGGGTGCAGGTTATGAGCTTCCAACATAATTCACATCATCACTCATTCGTATAAACCATATAAACTCACCTGATATTCACATGTGCGTCCACAACGTCAATTCACATATATATGCATCAATTATCAGTTCAAACATCTCAACAATTGCATGCGTGGCATTTAAAAAACATATTTTCATATAATTGCATTTTCTGGGAAAACAGTAGTATATAGGTAATACAAAAACAAAACTGCCCACTCAATGGTAAGTCGATGGGTCGTAACCCTCGTGACGTCCCTGGATGCGCTCGTCCTCGGGATAGGTGTCACCTATATGCGAAATAACTATAAAAACGTTAATTTAAACACATAACCAACAATTCGAAATAATTTCTCATACGGTGCTCAATTTGGGTATATGAATATACCACATCGACCTACTTGACGTCACGGACGTCGAGAAATTTTTAGAAAAATTTTTAGGCTTGCCACGCGCCCTCACGCGCCGTGGGTGGCACGGGCCTACGCGCCCCCACGCGCATCATCTTCCTCAGCCAGTCGCCGGACTGGTTTTTCCGGTGGCCGGACTCCGGCGAGTTTTAAAAATGCTTGTTCTCCTTCGTTTCTCAACCGATTTCTTCGAATGTTATATCAATTTGAAGCCCCCAACATGTAGAATCACGATGGACTAGTTTCAAGGTCTAAAATTCACTAGATTTTACCTGGGGAAGCACGATAGTTCGGAAATTTTGAGAACCTCCGTTCTCGGTCCTTCGACGTCCAAATATCAACAACGAAGTACCCCGAAGCTCGTGAGGATGTCCTTAAGCTCACTGTGAGCTTGAAATTCCCTGAAATGCAAGATTTCACGTGTGCATGAACAATGCACATTTTCGGGGTTAGGGTTTCACGACGATTCCGAGGGTTTCACTTCCTAAAACTAATACCAATCAACTCATAACATCAAGAGGGTGAAGAATCATACCTTATTTGCTTCGATCCACGAAGTTTTGGAGGGTTTTGGTGTTGTCCGTACGATCGAGGGTGAGAGAGAGTGAGAAAGTCGTGAGGGAGGAGAGAGAGAGACACGGGGAAGAGGGGGAAGGAAAGGTGAGTCCGTGAGTGAGGGTGTGGTCCAACCAAAACAATCCCACTTCAATCCCTAACCACACAAATTTACAACTCAATTTTCTCCAAAAGTTTAGGGATGATAATTAGTCCATAAAATATATACATATGTCAAACACGTACCTTAATACCCGTCAAGGGTATTTTCATCATTTCACGCTCCCGATAAAAAAATTTCGGGACAGGCTGTGACAGGAGGTCATAAGCGTCTATACCGTAAAATCAATTTTTGACAGAATGAAAGAGACATATATGGTAGAATCGTAACTATAGAATACGACCCTAATCGAAATGCATACATTTGTCTCTCATACACTCGATGGTGAGAAAATATATATTTTACATCCCAGAGGGGCTATAATTGGAGATATCATTGTTTCTGGTACAAAAGTTCCTATAAAAATGGAAAAATGCCTTACCTTTGAGGGCGGTTTGAACTATTGATTTACGTAATTGGAAGTAACCAATTAGGTTGACGACGAAACCTATAAATCGATTACTTATCCAATTTGAGTACCTCTACAGGATAGACCTAGGATTTCCTTTCTTGAAAATCCACACTTGTTTAAACCCAAAAAAGACAGAATTCTAGGATTCTCCCTGGGGCAAATACTTTTATGCATACCTGTTACCTCGTACTTTTCATTTTTATTTTTCTTTTTTGTAATTTTTCGATGGGTTACTAGATAAATCTTGATTTGAATCACTGCCTTTTCTTTGACTCTTGTTCTTTATTTATCCAAGAGACGATCCCAAATAAACAAGTGTGGGAAGCTATAATTGTAAACCACGATCGAATCCATGGAAGCATTGTTTATACATTCCTTTTAGTCTCAACTCTGTCCACCTGGTGCTACATCATAAGCACATTGGGAATGTAGATAATTGTAAACATATAAAATGATAGCAATTGAATACCAATCCTCGGGTTTTATTTTGTGAAGTTTATATTCGTTGGTAATCGAAGCCCAAAGATCTATGAACTAACCCATGTTTGACTAATGAAGCGGATAAACGACCTTGCATCTTTTTTTATCTCTCCTACATTTTGATTTGTATTTTATTTGTATAAGTATTTCACATTTACGATGAAATCTATGAAAGTTGACTCTCTATTTGCTTTGTTATTCTGTACAAAAGGATCCTGCCTAATTCACTAATTCAGAGAAAGTTATTGAACTTTTATATTTGAAAAATATTTCAAGAAGGATCTTTGAAGTAGACGGTGGTTGATAGAGTAATCCCTGATCATAATTTCCAGTATAGAGTAATCCCTGATCATAATTTCCAGTATGAGTACTGCGTCTAACACGAAACTTATGGGTAGTAGTAAAACACTGATTTTCCTGTTGAGATCTAATTCGATCTTCATAGATTTCTCGAGAAATTTTCTTACAAAGTTTTGTTATAGCATCTATAATGGCCTCCGGTTTAGGTGGACAGCCTGGCAAATAGACATCCTCAGGAATTAACTTATCAACTCCCCGAACAGTACTATAAGAATTGGTACTGAACATCCCCTCTGTAATTGTGCATGCTCCCATAGCAATAACATATTTTGGCTCAGGCATTTGTTCATATAATCTTACTAAAGAAGGAGCCATTTTCATTGTTACTGTGCCTGCTGTGGAGCAAATAATATTCACTAGGCGACACGTGGACTTTTGAACATAAGAGGACAAAAATACCCTTGAGGCATACCGGGATTCCTACGTGCGAGCAGTGGGCAATCATTTTTCAACCAAGTCAAAAGTGCTCAAAATAGGTATCAACTTAAAACCTAATTTATTCATATATTTCCCATTTCATTATTTAGCTAATCAATTAGCTAAATAATATACTTATTCCTTTCATATTTCCTCAAATCATAATAATTGACTAATTAAGGGATTAATTACCTAATCAATCCCTTAATTATCAATTTGAAACATCCACTCAAACCTAAAAATACTAGAGGGCCGGATATCCCATTCAAAACCTAAACCATTACCTTTTT